ACCCCCCTCCCTTCACATTGTCACTATCAGATTGTTATGGGTACATTTGCTAAACAAACCGCATGCACACTTGACTTGCATGTACAGTAAATATGCACCGAGCACATAAAAACAATAGCAATTTGGAGAGAGTTTCACACCTGCTCTGCTATCATACTTTTTGGCAACCCCATCATTACCACTTCCTTCCTCCCATGGTGCACTGCACAACAGCCTGTTAAAAATATTGGCACTAACACTAAAGTCTGCTTAAGTAATATTTAGCTTAGCATATTAGCCTCTAAAGCTTTTTCTTCAGTTATAAACAAAGCAACTATTGGACTTTATGAAAACACCCTTAAGACATTAATAAGGAGAACAACAAGCCTAGTAACAAGTATGATGTATGCTACATTATTATCTAGGAAAGCGGGAGGGAGTGGCGAGTGGCGCAGTGGGTTGTGTGTAGGTGTTCGGATCAGGGGGTCACAGGTTCAAACCCCGCTTTGGATAAAAGCTAACAAGTGACACGTAATGTAATGTAATGTAAAAAGACAGCAACTGAAAAGGCCCATTTCAATTGTAGAAAAATAGATTATAAAAAGGAAGTTAGGTGCCTTTGCTAGCCTCACACCTACCTACCCACCCCTCTTCCTGGTTGTGAATATGAGTTCTTAGACTCCCTTTTAAATGGTAACAGTTTTTACATTTCAAAGCGTTTTGAAAAGTTGCAACAAAGTAATTTGCAGAGTGCATAACGATTTTGTGTTTGTGAGAGTAACTCTCACAAAATGATTCACCCATGCCCCATTTTGCACAATTTATGATAATTATCTCATTGATACGTTATTTAAAGCTCATTAAATATGCTTTTCACCTGATTTGGAGACATACTGTATGGATATTTAAGTGTGGTTGTTCAGACCAAAGTGCAAGTGTCTGTATGTGTTCTATGTCTAAAAGAATGACAGATCTTCAGAGAAACAAAAAGTAACCGAAAAAAGAAATGAAAAACAGAAAGCAAGTCATTTGAATACATACAACCCCCTTTTCCGAGTATGTGGTACAACATTTCAATACCACAATCCTTGAAGAAACCCCCAGCGTGTGCAGAGTTTGTGAATTAATGTTCCTGTCTTGACATTTTGTATCCTCTAATAAATGTGTGTGACAAGTGTCACACAATCCCCTGAGTGAGAGCAGGGGGATTTCTCTGAAGAAGGGGGAGCTCTGCTTTTGTCAGAAGGGATGAAGTCGAGTGCTTCTTCAGAAACAGTCTGATTGCTGACTCAGTTTCATACCACCATGTGAAGCTGACCGTTGAGCGGCCCAGACCAAGCAAGGAGGCAGAGGCAGAACGTCCAAAATACAACCCGGTGTGGGCATTTATTACATCATAAACATATGACACAGCCTCAATCTGCTGCCCACATGAACACAGTCACCAGCCACCATAAGGATCTCACACGCACTAGCAGCCAACGCAGACAGGGAAACAGAGCCTAAATACCCACACACTAATCAGCAATTAGACACAGGTGGGGGGGGAGGAGACAACACAGGGCACCAGGTGAACATAATCAGGAGTAACAGACATGGAGAAAGGGAAACACTTTTCAAAATAAAACCACATGTGCAAGGCCCGAAGCCGTCAGTCCACACCTATATTACATTACAGGACATTAAATTAGGTTTTTGTTATCTACGTGCATGAAAGCACAAACACTCTTGTGCTCAAATGCTTCCCCTAACCATTAACCACAAGAACAAATATGTGGCGTCTGTCTATGTCCTGTAAGTCATAACGACTTCCTGTTAGTCTACAAAAAGGTTCCAAATCTTCAATAGCTGCCCTCATTTTAAGTGAGATAAAAACAGCGTTACTGAATGTAGCATTTGACTGTGTCCTCCTTCCCCCAAGTAAAGCTCTCTAAACCACTTCTAAGAAAAGTCAAAGCTGGAGTGAAAGACTCGCTAAGGCGCAAATAGAGACGGATCGTTTTTAGAAAAGAGCAAAGTTGTCATTACAAGCCCGTAGTGTTTACCATTCGCCACACCTCCCTCAACCAGGGTGAGTATCATTCCATAAACATGTCTGCATTGTGAGCCACTGTTCAATCTTCTTCCCAGTAGGGATGCACTGATTAGTATATTTGACTCCCTTAGATTACCACCCTTTTTTTAAAAACGTGCTTTTAGTTTTCGTTGATCATTTCAAAAGTGATTTAGATTTGGATATGTCTGGCTCCCACATCCAACATCAAATTTGATTCGTAGACACGGAAAGTATGCAAACTCACAAATTCAAATTGACATTTATGTAAAATGCCAAAGAAAACAAAATATGCCATGTACTTGAATATAAACCAGTTTGTTATTGAACATAATGGATTAATTAAATGCTGCAACCCAGTCCTTAAATATTGCTGTGACAAAATATCGATTCGTACCATCCATTTACAGACTTTTTTGGCACTTGAAAATTGGACTTCTACTTGCTTGTTAATTAGTTTTACACCAAATTGACACATGTAAATGGACGTTTAGTACTGTTAATTGTTTCTCTGATCTATTTTAGCCTGATTGACCCACTGTTCAGATACAAAGACTATCCTTATTCTTTTAGTGAGTCAGGTCAAAAGTAAAACAGTCTTCAGCACTCTCACTCCTTCAAGACATTCTGAAACTCTCTCTTCTTTAACACAGTGAAACTATGAAAGTGGCACAGGGGGGGAGGAGAGGGCACCAGGTGAACATAATCAGGAGTAACAGACATGAACAGAAGAATAGTAAATTGCATAACAGAGCCAAAAATAGCAACCTCCAATGTTTGCTTTAGCTTAAGTATTGTTAGTAAGGAGAGACACGTCATTCAATCAGGGTCATGACCTTTGACCTGTTAAACATACAACAGGCTGTTGCTACTGCCTCAGGACACTGATAGCCCTTACCAACACCTTCTGGCTGAAGGGATGGTTGTTCTTGAAAAGTGTATCACTTCAGCTGAAGAACATGAATAGTTGCTTTAATATATATTTTTGGCAGAATTACATAAGCAATAATATTTTAAGCAAGTGTCTAAATCTTCCTAAGAGTGCTGCGTCTGCTGCATGTGTTTGTAGTCTCGATCCAATGCATTGCAATTACATGATGTTCTGGAATTACAGACCATTCACTGAATTAAATTTCAAACTTAAAAAACCCTAAAAGCAATATTCTTGAATTCAAATTCATTGACAACATGGTCAAAATAAAATGTTATCAAGTATGAGAGTACAAAAGAAGTGCAAGTAGCTTAAAACAAGGAGGCGCGAATGATATACTCTCTCCAGCAGCAACAAGACAACACACTTTTCACATTCAACAAGTTAAGCTTTTCTGACATGTGCGTAGAAAAGAAACCGAACCTTTGTCAGACGTCAACCACCTCTTTTTCTTTATTCAACCTTTTCCTGTCACTCGCTGCAAAACACCTTCCTTTTTATAGCAGTGTGCCCTGGAGCAAGGCGACGAGGCCGTGGTATGAAAGGGAACGTGGCCCCCAGCTCTTCATCCGAGGCCCGGGTCAGAGCGGGGAGCTACAGTAGTAATTACTGAGAGACTGATTGCTGACAGGACCTTCCAACAGCCTGTGGTTAACTGGATGGAGCTGAGGGGGAGGAAGCTTCAAATGAACAGACATGACAGATACTCTGCTGATGACTTGTGCTTCGGGGTGGTTCAGGGCTATGCATGCCATTTAGCTCTATTCATTCTCCTTTTTAAAATGTTATACTATTAAACTTTAGACACATTTGCCTTTTTTGGAGGAAGAATGGGGAGAGGTCACAGCAGGGGGGAGTGCAAATTACCCTTTAAAAAAATGTATTAATTCATTTTGTAAACAAATCATTGTTTAAGGTGCTCTACTGAACATCTTTGGAAATTGAGAGGTGCCATCAAAGGTTCTTCTCCTTTATTCAAAAATCTCCCCTGCCCACTTTTAAGATTAGATGTATTTTGTTATTTTTAAGTGAAACTCAAGAGACAAGTTCCCCTCAAACAAATTTGAACCCACTTCACTGACAGAGTGGGAGGAATGTGTGATGGCGGCAGGCGAAGCTGCGCCACAACTGGTTCACTGCACCATGTTTCAACTGGATTATGCCAGTTTCTTCCTCAGGGTGGTCATTTGAGAGTCCTTGGGATCATTCATCATGAGCATATGGATGTTTCAACATGGTATTTTAGCCAACCAATCTGTGCCATCCATGCGTCTGGTTGATTTAGCTGGCGGAGATGACTGTATTTCATCTGGACATAACTGTTTGTTTCAGTAAAGAAGTGACTGCAGTTGCTGGATCAGGGTTTTCCAAAGTTTAAAGTCAACTCAATGGCGTTGGATCACAGCTAAAAAGGATTAGTCGTGGGGAAGAGCTTTCCATATTTTCAGAAACAAGGGCTATCAGAGGAAAAGAGTAATGTCCTAGCTATATTTCAAGAGAAAATATCGATATTCCAGAGCAATTTTTTTAAAGTTTTACCCAAGAAGAGATTGGTTTTGCTGTAGAACTAATAATGAATCCTGACATGGTTCCATACATTTAACCTTGACACGTTGTTTAACTAGAAGGTCTCAGTTTCAACCAGATACATGTGCATAGTCATAATATAACTACATGTATACCAAATAAGGCAAAGGTGTAGGGTTAAATCCAAGCCATTTTAAGGCCTTTACAAGAAAACTTGAAATTGGGAAATGTTTCAGGAATTTAAAAGCCAGAAGAGGAATTTATGGGTTTAGCTACTGGGTCATAAAAGTTGTAGATCATGCCAATGTTCAGCAAACCCAACAACCAGACATTACGCTGGAATCTGACCATTTATGACAATTCAGCAAAGCCACAGCAAATAACAGACAGCAAGTCAAGTGGAGCAAAACTGTGAGCTTGTGTGGGCCAAACAGAGGCTGCATTTCATTAAACACATTTTGTGTACAATGTATGCCCGTGTCATCGAACCAAACTGCCACACTAACTTACCTCTGATGGTTTCTTGTGCTGGAGGCGGACCCATGTGCTGCTGGTGACCGTATTCTTGGATGACCTCGACCACGACGTCATCTGACCTGCAGAAACAGAATAAAAGGAAGAGCATACTCAGTGTAATAAGAACCAGCAAACGTCTATTTCAATTTTACTTAATAAGTCTTTTTTTGAAAACCAAAACGTGCACATCTTTCTTGTTGACAAATGAGCGAAGCTTGGGACCCAGTTGTAAAGACAACAGTGTTCAGTCATCTGGAGCAGAACATCAGACAAACTTAATCTGTGTTTGATTTGTAAAGAATGTGCATTCATGAGTGTGAATCATGATTTAAAGTGGGGGGGGAAATGAAGAACAGGTCTCTGGCTCTGGATCAGATTTCATGTTCACAGTGTGCGTTCAAATTCAATCCAAAGACACTTTATTGTCCCATTGGAGAAATTGGTTTTACAACACAAATACAATAAAAACACAGTAACATCAGCCATCATGAACCAACAGCGAATTACTTATAAAGAGCAAAAAGCGGCTCATTGTTTTTTAAGTGTTCTTAAAATGTGATAGAATTCAAGGGCTTTGATGAATCTGATGGAGGCAGTTCAAACAATGCAGAGAAGCACTAAAAGAAATCAGCCAAAAAGACCTTGCCCGTGACTTTTTGACGCCCATGGCAGTACTACCACTGAGTGAGCTCTTTAATTGAAGCCGACTGATGATGATCCATTAAGAGGTTTAATAAGTAATGACAGTATAAATAGCATCTTGTTAAGCAGTTAGTCCACTGTGGTCTTTACAACCTCATTAATACACAACTTAATGGCAATTAACTGACTCTGCTGCCAATATCCCACCCACCGCTTCAATCAGCAGCCCTGTATGTGTTTCCTGGTGCCATATATTTGAACAGTGTCTATTTGTAATTTAATTGATGCTGTTTTTTTCTATATATGTTTTAAATTATATAACCATGCACCAGATAGCCAGAAGCTCATTTTTAAATGTGCACCGCAAAGGAGGCTGTCATTAAATATTACATCACATTGGCAATCAAGTTACATCAGTGATCACACAGGCATAATGGAAAACTCAAATATTCCAATACTGTGTAATATAGCACATTGTGACCATGACTGTGTGTGTTCATTTATGTATGCATGTGTGTGGATGCGTGTGTGTTTGTGTGCTGCCTCCCACTCAACATATTTCCTCGACACTACAGCAGTGCTGCCACCGTGCTAATTTTACTTGTGACGTCTAAACAACTAACAGCACAGAGGGCAGAACTGCTGTCAGACTTTTCTACAAAATTACAGACTGCCTCTCTCCCTACACACACCTACAGTACAGACATACATAACTCACACTTAAACACATACAGTGTGCTGTACATAAACATGTTAACACTTCCCCGTATTTATCACATATGCGTGCTTATAGTCCCAGTTTCTCCCACCATCACACACATGTTGCATGCATTGATTTAATGTCTCAAACTCTCAGTTGCACAGTTTCATATACTCACACAAAAACACACTTTAACTCCCACAGCATGACAGGAAATATGGAGTGAATTGACAGCCATGTTTGGGTTTAATCACATTATTTACAAACTGATCCTCCATTCATGTCACATGGACATTAGAAATGAAAGTGGAGGGAAGCCATTTCACAATTTAAGAGGCGTATTTGTGAAACTATGTAGCTATTTTTTGTGAGACTGGCTTGGACTACAACCTCCCAGCTTGCTTGCGCGCGCGCGCGTGCGTGCGTGTGTGTGTGATCTACATGCCCCACGAGACAGCTGCACCTCATCATCACTGTGTGGCCAGATAACGGAGCTGGCCGCAGCGCAGTGGGAGGTTACCATCATGGCCGTGTGTTAATTAAAAGCCCTGCTTGGTGCATGGCAGGCAAAATTATCATGGGCATCCTTCAATTAGAAACCTGATAACCTCCAGTCAGCAGATGCAGCTGGAGCCCACGCTGCACTGGCCAGGGGAAGCTAACGGCTAACAGCTAATTATAAAGCGAAGAGTGCGGCCGTCAGCACAGGGTGGCTCAGTCAGGTCTGAAAAGGCTGCCTGTTAAACCTGCTGTAAAATCATTTGTGCATGCAGACCTGTGACCACATAACACTTAAACCTGCACGAGGTCACTTCCATGTGGTCGCCCCGGCTACAGTTAAACTGTTTGTTTTTTTATAAGTTTAAACCATTCAATTACACAGTATTCCTCTATTTACAGATGTAAATCTTGATGAGTATATGTCTTATAAGGAAAAGGTTATTTTAACCCTCCTATTGTCTTCGTTTCCCCCCCTTACTTTGGTGTTCGCGGTCAAATTTGACCGGTCCTGTTGGAACTGCTATTACATTAACACAAAAACCCTTAATCATCACCAAATTTCATTTAACACCCTTTCAAACTGCACATGTTGTATCAGACTACTGGTATACATGAACAACTGCAGTAAATATACAAAGAATAGACACTGAACATGTATTGCGTGTGCCAGGGAGGTGCGCGCGCGCGTGCGTGTGCGCGTGCGTGCGTGTGTGCGTGCGTGTGTGTGTGTGTGTGTGTTATCTGATCCGGATGGTTACTAATTCCTTTTCTTTATGGCGGTCATTTTTGAACGGGAACACCATGGATGTTACAAAGTTGACTAAATCATCCAAAATTCAATGAAAGTGGTGATCAGCAATTTTATATGTTCAAATGTCTACTGTGAAGGATATCATAAAGCCTTAATGCATTCGAATGTTAAAAAAAAAAGTAGTAAATCGGTCAGATTTGACCCGAAGACAACAGGAGGGTTAAGAATGTTTTTAACTTCCATAAGCAATTACCTGGACTGTTTCTGACAGATAAATTGTTTAATCTGTTGAAAATGTTATATTCTGAAATACAGAAAAATGTGCCAAAAGAAAACTGAGAACACCTTGTCTATACAGTATGTCAATTAATACGTCTAGCTGAGGGAGACTCTAGAAGAGTGCATCAATAGAACAAACACTCATAGTTAATCCAAAAATCTAATTAAAAAGGTTTTAAAAGTCAGATTAAGCCACTTTATTTTGGTTTGTTATGTTACCCTGGATAAACTAAGTTAGCCTAGGAGAAGAAGTAAAATAATCAGTTTAGAAAAAGCTTTTAGGACAACAAAAAAGTGAAAATAAGATCCTCTCTTGATTCAACAGATTGTTTGGCTGATATGACAGTGTCAGATGTTAGCCAAACGACTATTTTTACCTGTTATTTTAAAATGCACACTTCAAAATGCCAAGAATTACTCATCTTGATCTGCTAATAGCCAAAAAGAATGACATTCAATATTAATTTTCGCTGGCCGTCTTTAATGCCAAAATGTTCCTGTTGTTCTGACAGCTGTGAGAGCCAAGTGTGCTTGAGTAGAACTGTCCCGCTGTTCAAAGACTGTTTACAATCAAAATGATTTTCCAGCAGAAGCTGCCAGAGTTGTAATATGTTGGACTGGCCAGATGTTCCCGTCACCGTGCAGCATTGTATCTCTCTCTCATGGCCGACTGTCTGTCTCGTACAATGTATATAAAGACGTTTAAACATCAATGCCTTTCTATACACAAAGTCTGTCTCAGGGGTTGTGTTGAGTCTGTGTCAAATCCTAAATCTAATGTATATTTTTCAGTGTAGAAAAGGCCACATTTTCCCAGATGTGAGATGCAGGTTTTATTCGATTTCTTAATGTAAAAGCTGCATCATTTACTAAAGCTGCAGCCATCAAGCAGTCAGCTTTTAGAGGCAATGAGGCGCAAATCAGCTTTAGGATTTGACTGAGGTTATCAAACTCGAAAAATAAAAGGGCATGATATGAAACATTTCATTCACTGTGTGCAACACCACCGGAGGACCAGTTGAAGAGAAAAAGCAGCTGATGTTTTTACTGAGGAAATCCAGTTTAACAAACACAAATCATAATTTCTTTCCTCTTTATCATTTGCCTTTACAAATAAAGAGATATAATTCAGGATTATTGCTTAGTTCTACTGTCTAAGAATCTACTCTTACTCATATGTAGGCGTATGTTTCTGTTTCTTTATATTAAATAACTGATTCAGTGGCGTTCTTAAGTGCCTATCACTCTTTGTCTGATGTGATTTCTATAGAATAAAGGTTACTTCATTTTTCTTTTACCACTTATTTCTTTCTTGTGGCTCTCCTGCACAGTCTTTACACCTGCAAGGGCAAAGGCTTTTCAAAACCTAAGAGATTTATTTTCTCTTAAAAGCAGCCGTTGTTCTTGATCTTGCATAAAAGCTGCTTGGGCTACATATTCATATTTATATTGAAGACATGTTTTAAAAAGGAAAAAGTGTTAATGAGTAGAAAATGGACGGAAATAAAAAAATGTATATGGGGAGTGAATACTAGAAACACCCTGAGGGAGTTGACTTAAACAAAGCATCTGACTGCACAACAGCAGCACAGGCACTCACTTTTTGACACTTCCAGGTTACACACACAATAATCTGTCTTGAAAAAAGGTCTGAAACTAACATTAACACACACACACACACACACACACACACACACACACACACACACACACACCTCCTCTTCCCTGATTCTCTCTCTTCAACTTACTGTCGGTGGTGTCTGAGTCGTTGCTGCTCGTGGAGTATTTCCTCCTCTTCTTTTCGCTCTCCATCTGTCAGGGTGGCAGAGAGGGAGGGATGAGGGGGGGAGGCAAGACAGAGAGGGACAGAGAGAGAAAAATTACGAGTGAGAAGATGTTCACCATGAAAACACAAGTGTTAATGAAATAATGCGCTGATGGCACCAATCTGTCAGAGCCTCCAGCCGGCAGCCTGCCAGAGTAAACTGACTTGATCTGCATTTACACATGAGCGCCTCGGACCCTCGTCACAGTGATACAGTTGTTCTGTTTCTGCACATACAGTGGGAGTCCTTGTATATGTGGTCTGTAAATTCCTCCTGCAGTATTCACTAGAAGCTATTGGTCTGAGTATAACTGGTATAAAGTCCCCATTTGTGCATACTGTAGGTACTTCTTTCTTCATTATGTTACAAAGGAAAAAATACTTGACCAGCTCTAACAGGACACCCTTTGAAGTGTTGCAGCAGAAGACAAGAACCTTGTTTTCTGTGAATAAGGAAATTCAAAAGCCACCTTCATATTGTGATAAGAACATCTCTATTTAACAAACACATTGAATTCAGCCAGATGACTACAGAATTAACTTTTCAACTACAATTCATCCACAAACTACAATGACAGAATATTTCAAAATTTTATCTGCAATAACAATGTGCTTTCTTGTATCTCTGGAACGAGGTGTGCATTAGCAGAAGGCAGGGCAGGATACTAAATGCATTCAACAACAAGTTGGTTAGATCTCAAGGATACACACAATGTGTTTTGGTGAGTAACACTGAATGTAAACATAACCTTTTTAGAACAAAGCAGAAGTTGTTACAAAAACATCAACACTACATTCAACAGGCGTAAAGGTATAGGTACAGGTACAGGTACAGGTGTATAGGTCTCAGATATATATACAAAGACTGACAGGTTTTAATATCTGTGGAGGAGAACAAAAAGAGAGGATATTTTTTCATGAAACTTTCCGAATCCCTTAACACAGAGGGGACAGATATTTACAGTTTTTGTACATTTTTGCAAAGAGAATGCCATTAGAATTCAATTCACATGTTATGACTAGTGGTGTTTTCCACACTCGTAACATTGATTTGTTGATTGATTTAAAAAAGCACCACTTAAAATGATCTGTTTTGCAGAGATGTACTAAAAAAGTCTCTTGTTTTAAAAAATATTCAGACTTAGACAAAGGTTTTAAGTGGGAAAAAGGGAAAATATATCAATGAGGCAAAAAAAAAAACAGCCTCAAGAAATGTTTTTATAGGCTTGCCCTGGTTGCATGAGGGTCAATGGAAGAATATATAAAGTGGCACTTAGAGGGGAAAAGGAGGGCATGGGTCAATAGAGTCTGAAAGAGAGAGAAATGAAGCAAAAGAGAGCGGCAGACAGAGTCAAGCAGTCAAAAGGAGGTTTTAGCGAACCGTTACACCGAGGAAGGAAGGCCAAAAGAGGAGGAGGTGGGTTACAACCTCCAGTGTGGGGAACAGAGATTTATGTGGCTATAAAACTTGGCTATTCCCTCTTATACGGGGCTCTTCCTGTATCCCGGCCCCCCCGCCTGCCCTGCACACACTTAACTACTCTGACATTTATGCTGACAGAAAAACACAGCGCTTCTCTGCTGCCTCTGACTATTTCCATTCCCAAGTCCTTCCATCTTACTCGTTTCCACTTTCTCCTTTACGTCCCCCCATCCTATCTTCCCTTCCTTACAATAACAGGGACACAAGGAGTCTGCAGAGTAAGGTTAAGCACATTATTGACTTCCAAAGCCTCCCTCTCGCTTCTCTCTCTATCCATCTTTTCACCTTTTCCCCCCCCTCCCCCCCCATCTGTCTTGCTCACCCTCGTCTTCCTGCCTTTGAGGAGAGTTAAGTACATCATTGACTTCCTCCACTATACTACGTCTGTCTGACTTCAAGTCTGCACGCTTGGATTCATCTCAGGGTTTCCCCTCGCCTGTTAAACTCTGAGGCGACCCACTTAAACCACACTCAGGGTACCAGGGTTTTTTTTTTTTCTTCAGCCCAGTCAAGTTTTTCCCCTGACCACCCAAAGGAAAATGTGAACAGTAAGAAAAAATGTGCTATAAAAAAGGATCTATTTGTTACACCGGACTTCTAAATGGATTGCTTTAAAATGTTATTAGAAGCATTTACAAGAACAGGGTATTACGTGGCGGAAAGGACCACAGCCTTACAAAACAAGAAGTATTAAAGGGCATGAGAACTAGAAATGTTATCGGTTCTTGTTTCTGATTAACATAACACATAAAACATTAACATATTTGATATGTATGGCTACAGCTGTGGAGGGTTTTGTGTTGTGATTAGTCAAATTAAGCCAGGTTCGATCGATCAATGTGAATGCTTTGATTTGTTGCATTACTATTAAGAAACTCGTATAAGATTTAAAAATTGAGAAATCAGTTCAGGATTATAAGCAGCTTCTGTTATCTGCAGGCCTTTTTAATGCTTCCAAAATGTTATAAACTCAATTGTTTTAGTTTTTGAGTCAAGAAGTCAAGAAGTCAAGAAGGAGCTACAGTATGAGCAATTTTTGCTATGCAAGTCCTAACGTAGCTCCAAGGGTGAAACTTGTCTCTTTTCTTGCTCTCTCTATTACCCATAAATGCAGAAAGCTCAGTTGAATTCCCAGAGAAACTCCATCAAATAGGCTACACATACTAGAGCTCGAGAGTGGGAAATGTGTCGTAGTGCTGGCTCCCAGAAGATTTTAGAGATCAACAGTCAGTCAAGCGCAATAGGCCTTTCTAACATTTCACAGTAGGAAAACATTTCACAGTAAGAAGAATGCAGGTGTATAACATTAATGATGGTGGAATTCCATAAACCTCTACATAGTTATTTACTTTGCAAAACACCAACACACAAAACAGAGCTTTTAAAATATGCACTCAGATCTGATATCAAATACTATTGTATAAAAATCGCAATAACTTTGGTGGAAGTGCTTTTAAATGTGATAGAATTTTAAATAATTGAGTTTTTTTCAGGCTGGCATGTTTATTTAAAATGCCACTTTGGGACAAAACTATTACCTGAAGTGCATTATTCACCTTTCCCTGTTCATCAAGTTCCTAAGTAGGCTGCTGCTGCTTGAAAATGTGCATTATATTTATTATTAAGGCACTGAAGACACTGTTTTATGCCATATATTTCATAGCAGGTTTTGTATTTAACAGATGGTTGTCACTTTAGTTTGGAAGAAAAAATACATTAAGTCAACCACACCCACGTCTCCAAAGAGAGGGAACGTTTTCACACTGACATATCAATGGGTTTTCTGGCTAGCAGCTGACATTTGGTTTTCATTTGGTTTGCTGACAACGCTAACCAACCGTTGATTGGTAAAGTGCGAAAATCCAGAGAAACATTCCCTGTTGTGTGGAGACGGGCCTTTTGATTCTCCCTATGATCTTGTTTTTTTTGTTGTTCCTTTTGTTACAGCAGCTGTTGGAGAATAATTTCGATTTTTGTACCATGTCTGTAGCGGTTTTGGTTCCATTTTTTGAAAAGAGTTTTATTGAACACAAGCTCCAAGCATAGGCCGAACACTTGCTGGATTGTATGCATACTCCAAAGGGAAAATTGGACTTAAATCTGAAGATCTTCTCTCTGTGTTGTACTTTTTCTTGCCGTTTTGACCAGATTTGAGGACCACCAACTACTGTGACAAAATTGTTGGTGCTTAAGTTGTTAAGTCAACTAGCCACAGACTGTGTCATTGTAAAATGGTTACCAATAAATGTGTTTTCATGTCATTTATTGACTTTTTTATATTAATGCCCACTAACTGATAATTGCAACACGTCTGTTTCAGGCCTTTTCTGTCTGCTGGTATCTTTAGTGACCAGATTCAGTGTCTCTGTCACATAGCTGTCATGGCAGCTGAACCTTTGATTGTAAGCTGACAGGACAGTCTCTTTAACCTCTTGTCCTGGTGGCAGCCCGGCATTTCTGAATGTTCATGTAAAAATGGAGAACCACTGGCCCGTTAAAGTGAAAGAACTGATGGTAATTGGAAATGTCAGTGTATCTGCTTAAAATCCCCCACCCTTCATTTTTGGAGTAGGATCACCTAAGGGAAGAGTCGGACTCACAGCTCTGCAACTGCCAAGAAAAGTCTTTAAGTTCATGTTCTCCCTCACTCTTTCCGACCACCTGATATCCTACTTTTTCTTTCACTCTTCCTCTCATCCTCAGTTCCCAAGTCTCTCTCTCTCTCTCTCTCTCTCTCTCTTTCTGATGCAGTACAGAGTACCCTGTCTCAATCAGTCCAGTGAACCAGAGCAGAGCCCAGACTGTAGATTGAGATATTTCTTGTTCTCTAGAGAGATGGAGTGGATGAAGGAGAAAAAAGGGAAGCGGGAAAGACTCTCAAATGTACAACTTCATCTCAATCAGTGCAGTGAACCAAACGCCAGGTCTGCACTGGTTTACTTTCTGAACAGAAAAAAAGACAAAAAGAAGACTGAGCGAGAGAAACAGTGTGCGACAGTCGGTCTGCTTTCTTGCCAAACAGCTTTAACAGATGGTACAGGAATTCCGTGCTTCTATCTCCAGAGCCAGAATTCATATTCTTCAAGTCACATCTTTTTTTTTTTAAATCGATCTTTGTTTTTTATTTGACTTTTGACTTCGCTACTTGCCAAGTCTGTGGACCGAAATAGCAAATCTACTTCAAACTACTTCTTCAACATGTATTGTTTAAAAGGCTCAGTGTCAGGTAGGTCGATTCTACATCAATCCCTCTACAGTGAGTGATATCTACTGTCTACATTCAGAAAGATCTATCTCATAGGGAGAACAATTATATATAGTACAGGAGGTCCCAAATGAATGGATGTGTAGTTGTCTGTCCTCCAACATGGCTACCACCTTTAACCATTAGAACCAAGGTTCTACAGTTGCCCTTTTTTTAAAAACATGCAATACAACAAAACGTTTATTTTAAAAAGACAGAAATCCTGGGATGAGTCTTATGTTTGGTACATTAAGACTGGA